GAAAAGGGAAGACTTAGGATGGCCACCTGTGTCTTTATAACACAAGAGAAGCCCCAGAGTTTTGAGTCATCCAAAATGACTCCAGGTCAGAGCCCCAGGTGCTCATTCTGGCCTTTCTTTCTACTTGGGGACCACCACACCATTCCCACCTCTGCTCACTGGGCCTGCCCTTCCATCTCCCCACATCTAGGGCTGGTTCATTAACGTACTCAACCATTTATTTGACAAGTATTAATTCAATACCTTCTATATGCAAACCCTGTTCCAGGTACTAGGGCCACAGTACAGGAGTCAATAATCAAACAAGAAATTAAAGTTAACAAGATTGTTTCAAGACAGCTGTAGCTGCTTGGAAGGAAAAAACACAGGGGGTGGATCCTTTCTGTGGCTGGTCAGTCAAGGAAGGCTTCCCTGGGGAGGCAGCATCTGAGCTGAGACCTAACAGATGAGAAGACTTGCAGGCCAAGAGGACAGGCATGTCAGTTGGGCCCTCCAGGAAGTACATTCTGGGATGGGGTCAGGAGTTCAAGGAGTTTTGGAGGATAAGACAAGAGAAAGAAAAAGAGTGGGAAGCAGGATGGGGCAGAGAGTCTCAGCCTCCAAGACAGCTCCTCCAAAAAGATCAAGTGGCCCCAGAGGGGAGCTCTGGAGCCCTGGTACCCTATGTGCTCAGTCATCATCTGGGGCTTTGGCCCAACGAGCCCGGTGTAGGCTCAAAAGCTCGGGCTGATTCCTACAGCTGTAGGCAGTCAGCTCACTGCACTCTTTGCCACTGAACAGCATGTTCTTCCTTGAAAGAAAATCTATGGCTGTCACAAGAGGGTTGCCATCTTTCAGGAACAGAGAGAAAGCCAGCTTAGCTGCAGATAAAAAGTGCAGGAGGGAGGAGATGGCGGGCGTGCTGGTCAATTTCCATTTGCTCCTCCAGGTGGCGCTCCACCTCCCTCCCCCTTGGACTGCTGGGGCCCGCTCCTCCCGCGCTGGGGAGCCCCGCAAAGGAGGTAGGGAAGGAAGAGCACAAAGGAGGGTGTTTATTCCTGGATCCCTCGGCAGGAGGTCTCTTGGGCTGTCGTTTCGTTAAAGGCACCTGCTCTCCCATAACTGCGCCCTCCGGTCAACCTTCTGGGCCAGATGATCACGGTCCTGCTTCTGGCCCATTAGTCCCCCCTACCTTCCACCCGCACACTGTATTTAATCCCTTCCTCACTAAGCACTCCTGGAATTAGCCTCCTGCAAGAGTGCCTTCTGCTCCCTCCTGGGCTCCTGACTGTATGGAGAGGACATGGCTTGGAATCTATAGGCCTGGGCCTAGGGTTGGGGTCCCAGCAGGAAACCAAAAGGTACCTGGGGTTCCCTGGCCCCAGAGAAGGTCCTGCTATGCTCCTCTAGGATGGAGTGTGTTGGCACACTCCTGTGCCCCCAGGACTGCTTCTCAGATGTCCCTGGGACCAGAGACAGAGACAAAATGAGGGAGGGCTGTGACCTCAGGCAGAGGATCTGACTGGTGCTGATTTCTCAGCTAAGTCTTTCACTGTATCAGTCAGGAATCTCAGGTTGCAAGCAACAGAAACTCGACTCAACCAGACTTAAGCAAAAAACAAACAAACCACATACAAAGTTAGGAGGAGAGGCTATATAGACTCACAAACTAAAAAGCTCAGGATACATTGGCTGCAGGCAGGGCTGGATCCAGGAGTTCAGCCGATGCCAGCAGGAGCTCAGCATCACCATTTCTGTTCTCTTTGGTGTAGTTTCAATCTTAGGAAGCCTCTGTCCTTAAGGGCTCCTCCACCATTGCATCATACCATTTATAGCTGCAAGTGTAGGCTACATCCCAAATACCTCCAGTGAATGTCCCAGAATTACTTTTCATGGGCTCCAATGGACTCATAAGCCTCCTTCTGGACCAGCATCTAGCCAGTGACATTGGATCTGCTTTTTAGCCAGGCCTGGGTCACATGGACCCACGATCCAGGAGGTAGGTCACATCCACTGAACCTCATAGACCAAGAATTGCTTAGAGGAGGTTTCCTCAAAGGAAAATTAAGGGGCCGCTACCAAAAGGAGGAGGACAGGATCTTGGGAAGCAATAAACAACAGATGGCCACTACCTTCCCCAGGGCCCAGTCTTCTCCTGTTTGGTATCTCCCATCCTTGTTTTCCCTCTTCATCAATACAAATTTTATCTTGATGCTGCTGTACCCCAGCACCTGGAACAGTGTTCATTAAAGTTTTCCTGAATGAATGAATGAATAAATGAATGCATGGCAGAAACCGATGCCATATCCTGGTGTCACTTCATTGAAGCCTGCATTAATTTCTTAGGGCTGCTGTAACCAAGTAGCACAAACTGGGTGGTTTAAAACGTCAGAAATTTATTCTATCATAATTCTGGAGGCTAGAAGTCCAAAATCAAGGTGTTGTCAGACCCACGCTCTCTCCAAAGGCTCTAGAGAAAATGCTTCCTCATCTCTCCCCACTTCTGGGGCTCCTGTCAGTCCTTGGGATTCCTTGTCTTGCAGCTGTGTCACTTCAAACTCTGCCTCCATGGTCACATGTGTGTCTCTGTGTGCAAATTTCTTCTCTTATAAGGACACCAGTCATTGGATTAGGGCCCACCCTTATCCAGTATGACCTCATCTTAACTTGGTGATATCTGCAAAGACTCTATTTCCAAATGAGGGCACATGTACAGGTACTGGCGGTTAGGAGTAGAACATACCTTTCGGGGGGGCCCACAATTTTTACCTGTATTAGTATGGGCTGAAAGATGCTGCAATACCAACGGTATCCCCAGATGTCAGTGGTTTATAGTATTATGTCAAAGTTTCTTTTTCCACTTACCAAGTCTACAGGGGGACTGGTTGCTTTCATTTTGTGGTTCTGCCACATCACCATGGGGCTCCCGGGGTTACCATGGCTCCCAGGGTGACCATGGCAGGTTGCCAAGGCAGAGAGAGCTAAAGGGATACACAGGGGTCCTGGAGTGCATCGAATGCACTCGCAGACAAGTTCATTTCCACTAGATAACTGCCTATGATCTCCTGGTCCCCTGGGCCTTAGTCACTACTGGGCACTGCCACTGCTCTGCTGGGTACAATGGACACCTGCTTCTGCAGCTGTCACCATCTCTAAATGGACACCAAGCACCTACACTGGGCACCAATGCCCTTGGAATGCCCAAACTACACAGACTGTGAAGAGGCACAGTCACAGCTGCCCTGTGCCAGAAGTGCCCACTGTCTTACAAAGGTTTTCGGGAAAATGTTAAACCTCAAATGGGACAAGTGATGTAAATGAGCAAAACTGAGCTGAGTCACATGCAAGGCAATAGAGAATGGTGGAGACTGTGGCAAACCAAAGTACATGCCTCAGCTAATTGTTGCCATGTGGACATCGGCACCCAGTATTGCCAGATTTGGGGGGATTTCTGAAAGCAAACCAGAAAGTCAGATTTTTAGATGAAGTGTCCCGAGTTTCAAAGTGCTGTTCAGGCGGGATTCAGCCCACAGGCCACGAGTTTGTAAGCCCTGCTTCAGTGAGACAACTTTTTCCATTTTCACTCCTAGCTCTCTGCTCTCCAACTTGGCTCTCTGGTTATCCAGAGGATGTGGACCTGAGCCAAATGGGGCCTAGCCAGGAGGCAACCCCCTCTCCCACTGACCTCAGACTCACCCTCCCCCAAATAGCCAAGGCTTCTCCCTGGGTCAGGATGCTGGGCTGGGCTCCTCCTGTGGAGCGAAGTCCTTCCCAAGGGGTGCCTTTCAGGTTGACTCCTGGCCAGCCAGCAGCACATGCCTGCCAGGCAAGCCTGTACTTCTCTGAAACCCACTGACACCCAAGCTGCAGAAGCTTTTCTGGTTCTTACGATACAGACCAGATTCATCACCCTGACTTCCAAGGCCCTCGCAGGCAGCTTGTTGCTGACCCTTTCAGCCCATGACTCTTCTCCTCAGATTGGTCCCTGCCGAACCCCAGTCCCATCTCCTCACCCTCCCCCCTCCCCCCCAGTTTTCAGATAGAGGGAACGTCCTTCTCCAGTGCCTCTTGCTGTCCTTCACCTCTGGACCTTTGTAAATGTTGTTCCTTAGACTGTGCCTTCCACATCCCTCCCCCCACCCCAATACTCTCAAGTCTTGTAGCTCTTCAGGTGTCAGCCCAGAAGTCCCTTCTTCCAGGGAGCCTTCCCTGACCACCTATACTAGTTTAGGGACTGAGGTCAGGTGTTCCCACACCTGCTGGAGTTCCCCGTCACAGCTTAGCACCTAATGAATTCTCCTTCCTGAGGGAGGAAGGGGACATTCCTCAGGGACAGAGACCAGGACTGCTGGGTTTCCAAGCGTTTATCTAGCACCTAGCATTATGCCTGAGGCCAAGTAAATGCTTAAATAGTCATAGAAGGAAGAAGAGGGGAAGGAGAAGGAAGGAAGGAAGGAAGGAAGGAAGGAAGGAAGAAAGGAGGGAGGGGAGCGGAAGGGAGGAGGGAGATGAGGAAGGAGGGGCCTTCACTTTGTTTCCATCTCTGTATCTCTTCCCATTTCTGCCTATCTCTCTCATCTCTCTGTCTCCATCTCTAATCATCTAAAATCTCTTTCTCTGACGATCTACAGGTGCAGCTGATCATCTGTTCCTGACCCTTCCTCCCCATCTCTGACCTACACCCCTGGGAGTGCAGGCCGTCCGGCCCCCCGCCGTGTGTCCCTCCAAGAACCGCAGCTCTCCAGCTTCAGGACTTCAAGTGTCTAGAGTGGTCGCGCCAGATGTTTCCCAGCAGAGGTTCCATAGGTTTTGCACCCGGATTGGGGAGTAAAGGTTGGAAGGTCGCCGCACTGATGGTTCTCGAAGAGGCCCAAAGCTCTGGCTGAGGGGAAAAGAGGCGGAGAAAGGAAAAGAAAGGAGAAAAGAGGAGGAGGGCGAGAGGGAGAATGGGGCGGAGAGGGGCGGGCCTGAGCGCTTCCCCTCCACCCGGCGACGCACTGCCAGCGCCCTCCCAGCCCAGCCGGCCACATCTGGCGGCTGCCCTCCCTTGTTTCCGCTGCATCCAGACTTCCTCCGGCGGTGGCTGGAGCTACGCATCTGGGGCTTTAAACATACAAAGGCTTTGCCAGGACCGGCGAGAGCTGGCGGAGGCGGCGAGGGCTGGGGGCCGGACCATGCGCCGCTGAGCCGGGCAAAGCCGAGGAGACCGAGTCGAACAGCCCCTGGGGGCGCAGCGCTGCGCGGGGGAGCAGGCGCCAGCCAGGCGGCGACGCGGCCACACGCACCGAGCCAGCAACCCCCCAGGCGACGCGCGGGGCCCGGGAGCGCAATGACCGAGGCGCGAGTGGCTCGGGGCCCGCTGGCCGGCCCCCTGCGGGCGCTCTGCGTCCTGGGCTGCCTGTTGGGCCGCGCCGCCGCCGCGCCGTCGCCCATCATCAAGTTTCCTGGAGATGTCGCCCCCAAAACGGACAAAGAGTTGGCTGTGGTGAGTTCCGAAGCGAGCCTCATCCAACCGAGTTTAGACAAACTTCGGAGGTAGAGGAAGGGCCACCCCTCCCCCATCGCCACGGAGGGCACACAGCGTGGGGGAGGGGCTTCAGCAAACAGCCTGGGGTGGTCTGGTTCGCAGGAGGAGGGGGTGAGGAGTTGTGGTAAGAGAAGCCCAATTTGGCAACTTTCGGGACACAGCGGGGGGTGCGGGGGGTGTTTTGGCAAACCGCTGGAATGGGCCCCCTTTGCAAATAGTAAGGACATTGACTAGTATCCGGGATTTGGCAAAGGGGGGCGGCTTTGTATGCATCTCTTGGACACATCTGGGGGGTTGGCTAACGAGGCCGTTGGCCAGCGTCCTGATAGGCCTTTGGCAAAAAGCCTAAAGGGGTCTCTTGCAAACGGTGGAGGATCCTTTAAACCCCTGTGGGACTTAGAGAAGAGGGGCCTTTGGCACACAATTTGGATAAGTTTTTGCACGCGTGAGGGTGGGAGCTCTGGGCAAAGCGGAACTTTGGCAAACGTCTGGGAACCTTTGGCACACATCTGGAGAGGGGCCTTGGACAAACCGCTCCCCGGGACCTTTTGGCAAGTATTGGGGGCAGGAGAGAAGAGGACAGCGCTTTTTCCAGTGGCTCAATGAGCAAGTTGGTCAAGGAGGGTCAAGGGTTGGACCTCAGAAAGTTTCCTCGAACTTCTCCAGAGGGGTCGGAGGACAGAAGGAGAGAATTGGCCGGCAGGGCGGAGGGAGGGGCGGCACGAGGGCCCTGGCGCGTGGGGCGGGGGCGGACTGAGGCCGGCTGGGGTCGGAGAGCGGCCAGGGAGCCCTCCCTCCTGGCGGGGCTCCGAGCTGCGGCTCAGATGTTGTTTTGCGAGCGCGCGCGGCCGCGGGCGCGCGCGCCTGGCCAGAGGGGCATCCAGGCCACCACATTGCACAAGCAGAGATGCGGGCAGCTGAAGGACACTCCCCCTCACCCTGTAAGCGCCTCGGGCTGGGGACCCCTCAAGATGTTCTTTCCAGCGCACAAGACATCTGCCACGTGTTGCTTCAGCCACCTTAGAAAGCCCCTATTCGCCTTCAGCGTGGTCTCCAAACTGTCCAGGACAGGATCTTCGTGCCCCCTGGTCACCTGGGGGGCCCCTTCTCTGGATGTGACACCACCCCTGCCCCCTTTCCAGCATCTAGGTCTCTGCCTTCTCTGGACATATGGGTTGGGAGACCTTACGTTTTTAGGGGGCTATTTTTTTCAAGGGTCTGCATAGGAGGTGGTCTGCATAGTGAGGGGGCTATGGCTGAGGGGGAGGGTGGAGCTTTGGAGCACTGACAAAGCTACCTGGGTCCCCATGCTTTCTACAGCATATGGAAGTCCCTGTTGCCCAGAGGCAATGCAGTGGGGCCCGGGGCTTGAGAAGCCAGGCTTTGAACTTAGTCTGCCTGGCCTCAAATCTGGGGCTGCATGAATCAACTGGCCTAGTAAATCTCGGGCAAGTGACTTAACTTCTCTCAACTGCTTCCGCAAACTGAGGGTGATAATGGTACCTGTCTTGGGGTTCGAGGAGAGGTAATCTTAGACACTTTGAAGGGTACCTGGGACATGGTAAGTGCTCAATAAGTATTAGTCATTATATTGTTATTATCATTATTATTCTTATACCCTTTATTTCTTCTTTCCTAACTACCCTCTCAAACAAGGTCAGGGCCCCAGTAATGAGATCTCCTGGCTTCTCCCACCATTCCTATCACATATTTAACTTTTCACTTCTTTGTGGTCCATCAGCCTCCCCACGCTGGGATTTGAACCCTAGAGACTAGAAACATCTGTCGTGCTCACCACTTGACCCCCAGCACTAGCACCAGGCTTGGCACCTGGTACGTGTCAAAAAGTATCTGTTCAACAAATAAGTGAGCTGATGGGTCCCTGATGCCCTGCAGGGGCCTGTTTGGTTTTGGCCTCCGTTTGGGCAGAGCCCACTGCACAGGACCTGAAGGACGGGACTGTTTTCTTCTGGGAAATTGGCAGATTCAGGATTTGAACCCAGGACTGACTGCTGCTGGAGCTCAGGCACATAGCCCTTGAATCTCTTTAAAGAAAAGTGAGGAAAGTAATCCCTATGTCATCAGCAGTTTGGTGGATTAAAAGAGATGATGGAGGTACAGAGGGGTGGTAGAGAGGTACAGTTCTAAGCCTGGCCTCTGGAGCCAGTTTGCTTGGGTCCAAATTCAGTTCTGCCATTTGTGAGCTGTGTGATCTTAGGCAAGTTTCTTAACCTCTCTGTGCTTTAGTTTCCTCCTGTATGATGGACTGTCTACATGATAGAGTTGCTGTGAGCATTCAGTGAGTTAACACAAGCTGACATTAGTGCCTGGGCCCATTGTAAGCACTCAACACGTGCTCCCAAGCCGTGCTCTCTACAGCTTTTATGTCACTCGGCTAGTGGGTGACAGAGCTGGTTTGGGAACCTGGGACTCCACCCAGCGCCCTTGGGTCCCTGACTCCTTTGATCAGTACTATGCCATCCTAACGTGGCTGCCTGTGCCGGGGTGCTTACTTCTTCCAGCAATACCTGAACACCTTCTATGGCTGCCCCAAGGAGAGTTGTAACCTGTTTGTGCTGAAGGACACACTGAAGAAGATGCAGAAGTTCTTCGGGCTACCCCAGACAGGTGAACTGGACCAGAGCACCATCGAGACCATGCGGAAGCCGCGCTGTGGCAACCCCGACGTGGCCAACTACAACTTCTTCCCCCGCAAGCCCAAGTGGGACAAGAACCAGATCACCTACAGGTGCCGGGGCAGGGCTGCGGGAGGCAGGGCCCTGGGCCAAGGGACACCGCGTCTCATTGGGCGTTGCCTCCCCGCTCCGGGGACCCGGGAGCTATCTTGGGAGGACTTGGCCTCTTAAGGAGCTTGCATGCAGAATTCTTAGGTCCTGGAATAAGACAGACCAGGACTTGAATCTCACGCTTACTGGCTGTGCGGCATTGGACTCCTTCCTTTTCAGCGCCCTGAGCCTTGACTTTCCAATCTGCCAAATGGGGTTAAAACGAAGCCTAACTTACGGCTTGGGAACTGGATCATATGTATAAAGGGCTTTCAGTGTCCAGCATGTAGTAAGAGTGTAATAAATGCTAGTCACTATTATTATCAGATGAGGTCATTGGGGCGGGTAAAGGGAACTTGATGATTGGTTGCTAATTGGGTTTTTTATTGTATTATAGAGTTGTTATAGTTGGTTGTTAATTGGGCTGCGGGCTCTGTTCCGTACGGCTCATGTTGGACTCCAAGGATGAGATCTCTGTGCTGTGTTCCATAATGCACTATTTACACCCCCATCCTTCTCCCTCGGCCAGAGGGAGGGAAGAGACGCCTGAGGCAGGGCCTGAACATACAGGCTGATCTGAGGCACCGCGGGACCTCAAGGCACTCTGGGCGGGCTCCTCTCCCAGGGAGCTCTACTCAACATGCACACACATCGTCTGCCTGTGTATCCACACTCACATGCACACGCTCGTGCACACAGACTCTCACACCCCTCCCATGTACGCACACACTTGCATACACACACACACCCTTGCACACATGCACACACACTCACATGCATAGGTACGCTCACGTTCCTTTGCATACCCATACACACTCACGTGCACTTCTGCTACCTCCAGGATCATTGGCTACACCCCTGATCTGGACCCCGAGACAGTGGACAATGCCTTCGCTCGTGCCTTCCGAGTCTGGAGTGATGTGACTCCACTGCGGTTTTCTCGGACCCATGATGGAGAAGCTGACATCATGATCAACTTTGGCCGCTGGGGTAGGCAGAAGAGGGGCCAGCAGGGGACTCAGTGCAGAGACAAGGGGGCGATCCAGACATCAGAGAGCCACAGGGGACTCCTTTCCAGCTTAGCTAGGAGGGCAGAAGATGCAGACACTGGAGAGCCGCGTTGATGGGAAGGCAATGACGTGACTCCCTGGAGGCGGTGTGAACCTGAAGACATGTGGCTCCCCATCTCCTGTCCAGCATGGTAGCCCCTGCATCCATAGGGCTACTTACTTTTAAATTAGTTAAAATTCAATAAAATTTGAAATTCAGTTTCTCCGTCACACTAGTCAGATTTCAGTAGACACATCAGACTATTAAGTTGGGCAAGGAACATTCCCATCATGGCAGGAAGTTCTGTTGGATGACACTCAGAGACACTGAGGAACTCGAGATATGGGAGTGGGGCAGCTGGACCAGTGCAGACATGAGAGTAAGTGGAATAGAACCCAGGGTCCAGGGTGCCGTGTGTGTTGGGGTAGGAACACTGGCAGTAGTGTAGACACGAAGGTAGGCAGTGTAGACATTGTGAGTGGTATGTGATGAGGGTAAGTGGCACAGTCACAGGAGACAGTGTAGGCATGTGGCCCTGGGTGGCAAAGCGGTTATGAGGGTTAGTATTGTGGCCACTGGATAGTGTGACGTGAAGGGAGGTGATACGGCTAAGAGAGAGCAGTGTGGATTGAGAGTAGATGGTATAGACACTGTGGACAAGGAGGGTGGGTGGTGAGGAGACTGGTATGGTAGTGTAGGTGTGTGGATAGCTATAGTGTCATTGGCAGTAGTGTAGACAGTGAAGGTTGGTGGCAGAGATTCTGAAGGCTGTGTAGACTTGAGGGAGTAGTGTAGACCATAGGATGGTGACAGTCAAGTAGGCAATACTCTAGACTCACTGTGTCCCCAGTCCTGGATAACCCAACAGGACAAGGGAAGGGGACACATGCTAGGTGGGCTAAAGGGCCCCAACCATGGATGGCATGTGCTTGGGTTTCAGTGCCCAGCGGGGTAGCTAGAAGCTGAGATCCAGTGTGTTTCAGAGCATGGAGATGGGTACCCTTTCGACGGCAAAGACGGGCTTCTGGCTCACGCCTTCGCCCCAGGCCCTGGCGTTGGGGGAGACTCTCACTTTGATGACGATGAGCTGTGGACCCTGGGAGAAGGGCAAGGTAAGAAAGTGACCATCCACGTGCCCAAGCCTCCTCGCCGGTCCTCTGCATGCCTCCCTGTCACCTAGCAACAAGGACTTTGGCTTCCCTGGCAACCGCGGACCCCTCCATCTGCTCAGATGGGAGGGGGAGGGAGGTCACACACCCTGGTGAGTCACAATCCTGGTCTCTAAAGAAAGGCCTGGAGAGGTTCACCCTCCACCCTGTGTGGCCCCTCAGTGGTCCGCGTGAAGTATGGGAACGCCGACGGGGAGTACTGCAAGTTCCCTTTCCTGTTCAACGGCAAGGAGTACACCAGCTGCACGGACACGGGCCGCAGCGACGGCTTCCTCTGGTGTTCCACCACTTACAACTTCGACAAGGACGGCAAGTACGGCTTCTGCCCCCATGAAGGTGAGTGTCCTCCTGGCCCCAGGCCTCCACCTTCCTGGCCTCCACACTCCCCGGGCCTGGCACTGCCAGGGAACCAGTGTCCCCTTCTTCAGGCCCCATGTCCTGATCTGAGCCATCACTGTGCCCCTCTCGTCTGTTCCACTATTCAGTTAATACTTTCATTAAATCAATTCCTTTTTTTCTTTAAGTTTTATCATTAGTAATAATATTTTTGAACTCACCAGTTTGATGCACTAATTATTTTTTTCTAACATGCGTTAGAGGAACTTAGAATGATTAAAATGCCCAGCGGATCTCTAGAGAACCACTCTCTACCCTCCAGCAGGATTGGAGGTTCAAGGGCATGAGGAGAGGCTTGGGGGTAGATGAGAAGCCTAGCAGTGGGATTGGGAGGCAAGACTCAGACACCAAGGCCTGGTACCCAGCCCGGCTTGGGGACGTCAACCTGGGGAATTTCAGCCATCACTTCTGGTTCTGATTTGGACTCTGAGTATGTGTGTGGGGGTGGGGGAGTGTCTGGGAGCTGTTGCGTCTGCCTTTCTTGGTCTCCATCTGTCTTTGCTTGTGGCTGCATCTCTGTGTCTTGGCAAAGGCATTAGGTTTGACGCAGTATTTGTGTGTGCTTCAGACATAAGCTTCAGATATTTTGAAGCAACGTAGAGGGAAAAGTTTTTAAAAAGGTGAGGGTGTTGACATACACACTCAATCCTTTTTCATCTATCTATCCTTGACACACTTCATAATCAGAAATCATAAAAGGACAGCATACGTACTTCATACTCTTTCAAGTCATCGTGTTTAATGATTCTAGAAATTGAAAGCTGAGAAAGTTTGGGGAAAAGGGGAGAAAGTCCAAAACCTTTTAAAATACTTTTTAAAAGTATTCACTATCCCATAAAGACTCCTCGATCTATAGATGCCTCTGTCTTCTTGGCTGTAATTTTACATGTTTGTGAATCTCTTGTGACTATTGCAACTGAACCCTAAGTACAGCCATGTTGACAGAAGGAAAAAAACAAAGACCTGGTTAACTGTGTTCCTGTTTACGCTTTTGGTACCAAAGTGCACGCAATACTTTGTATTAAGAGTTCAAGGCATTGACCATCAATAAGTCAGAAATATTTAAAACCAAAAATATTTAATGTACCTTGCATTTCCCGGTAGGGGTTTGGATGGCGTTAACCCTCCCATGTGTCAACCCGTGTGTTTAGAACAGAATGTCTTGATAATAGAAGTAGAAACAGCTGGAATTCATAAGTCAGGGAAGGGTTTTTCCCTGCCCTGAACATTAGCCATTGATTTGGTCTTTAGCCAGATGCAAGTACGCACGACATGCACGTGTTTGGGTCTTGGGGCAGAGGTTCTGGTTACTCAGCCCCTCCTGACTGCTGAGTCAGCGTCTGCTTCTCTCCATCCCTTTGGGGGCAGGATCTGAGAGGAGATGGGGGCTTCCTGGGTGGTAGAAATGCAGCTGATGGAAGGCCGGAGGTGGAGACTGGCCTCCATTGAGGTTAACACCATCCTGCCCACCATGGATGACACATTTAACAATTGCCTTTCCCACTTTGAGGTCACCAAGGCATCTGGCCTCAGTGTTTCTTCCTCCATTCGTCCCGTTGTTTCTGGCGTTGCAGGAGAAGGTCACTAGGCTGGGGAGACAGGAGCAGTGAGGGTATGGGGCCCCAAGACCTGCGCTGGGGGCGCCATGGACTGGGCTCAATTCTGGCCATGGCGGAGTTAACGGGGGCTGGTGAGGTCACCTCTGGCGCTGTAGTGCACAGATGGTCCTTGTTACGCACTTGTGGTTTTGCTAGTTGGCAAATCCAAAGACACACCATTTTGTAGCTTTAGGGTGGATGAGGGTAGGGGGAGCAGGGGAAGAACCCAAGACAGACAAGCCCAGACTCTTAATCCCACTGTCTGCCCTGAACTCTCCAGTCATGGCCCATGTCTTGGGGAGGTCAGAGTGGGAGCCTGGGGTGTGTCTTGAAAGGTCCCCCAAAACACCACCTCCCTGTCGTGCCCTCCTTCTCCTGTCCTCCTCCCTCGTGCAGGGACTGCAGCATCCAGGAGAGGGCCTGGGGTTGAAAGGAGGTGAAGCTTTCTCTGTGTGCACGAGCGTGTGTGACAGAGCGAGGAAGGGAGAAATTGCGGTTAAGTGTGTTTTGTAGTTTTCAGTTACAGCCCTCATCCAGTTTTTCCGTTTCTATGACCATAAGCAGTTCTGGAACCAGCTTCTGCAAACCTCAGTTTCCCGATCTATCAAATGGAGAGACTCTTGCCATCCTGCCCACCATGGATGATATATTTAGCAATCCGCAGGGATGTGGGCAACAACCAGGCAGAGTGGACAGTGACCCTGGGGCTGGGGTAGGGATCTGAGGGCCCCACTGTGTGCCAGGTGTTTACTATTTTATTGCTGGTGTGGAGGGGCCGTCCATAACGTCCCAGGGGAAGGATGGGGTTGGCCGTGTAGGCAGGGGTAATTACACCCTGGGAGCTCAGAATTAACGTTTTACCAATGCTACAACTTCCCTGGTATGAGCGGGCAGGTGGGCAGCAGCTCTGCGCCCATGCAGGTGCCCCTCAGATGCTCCTGTGGGCAGGTGGGCGGTCTCCCTCACATTCACACCCTCCCCCTCTCTCCTGCACCCCAGCCCTGTTCACCATGGGTGGCAACGCCGACGGACAGCCCTGCAAGTTCCCGTTCCGCTTCCAGGGTACATCCTATAGCAGCTGCACAACGGAGGGCCGCACCGATGGCTACCGCTGGTGTGGTACCACCGAGGACTTCGACCGCGACAAGAAGTACGGCTTCTGCCCCGAGACTGGTAGGTGTCACGCCTCTCCCTGTCCTTCGATAGCAAGCCCACGGGAGCCCTGTCCCCACCTCCTTTCCCCAGGACCGGGGCGCTAGTCAGGGTGCGTAGCAGCTGGTCCAGCACGGACACCAAAATCAGGACAGACGCTGGGCACCGACAGCCAGTTCAGCTGAATCGGTTGGTGATGTCTAATGTCAGGTGCACCCAGGACCCTCTGAATGACCCACACTCTCGCAGCCTCCCTGGCAATTATCTCTTCCTCTCTCTGATCTCAATGTCTCTATTGCCTGCCTTTCTTTGTCTTAGTCTGTATCTCCTTTGGTCTCTGTTTTTCAATAAAGACTCCCTCCCTCCTTCCCTTCTTTTCTTCCTCCTTTCCTTCAGCAGACATTTGCTGAGTCCCTGCTCTCTGCAGGAGACACAGGTAGGTCTCCCACGAGACCATGTGTGATGGAGCTCCCGGTCTCGGGAAACGTGTTGACGCCTTCAGCTCTGCCCAGCCCCCTTTGCCTCTAGCCGCTGTGGTCCCATCCATGGGAGGCTAATTAAAGCTCTGGAATCGGGCTGCCTGGGTTTGCATCCCAGCCCTGCCACTTCCTAGCAGCATGTGCCCAGGCAAGTTACTTAATCTCTCTGAGCTCCAGTCACCCCATCCATGAGATGGGGGGTAACCTAGGGTCCCACCCACACAGGGCTGTTGGAGGGGGCCAGGCGGGTGAGCGGTGTGTAAAGCACTTGACCACGTGCCCCGCACTGAGCGAGTACTCAGTAAGCCTGGTTTGTTAATGGCTGCATCATATCATTGCTCCCTGGCGGTGGCCCCAGACCCGTTGCTGCCCGCTGACCCATGTCCCTAACCCCACAGCCATGTCCACTGTGGGTGGGAACTCGGAAGGTGCCCCCTGTGTCTTCCCCTTCACCTTCCTGGGCAACAAGCACGAGAGCTGCACCAGCGCCGGCCGCAGCGATGGGAAGTTGTGGTGCGCGACCACGGCCAACTACGACGATGACCGCAAGTGGGGCTTCTGCCCCGACCAAGGTAGGAGCCCTGGCCATTGGGCAAAGACACTGCACACCCCGCCCCGCCCGCGACTGGGCTGGAAATCTTCCAGAGTCCCCACCCACCTCAGCCACAGACACTGCCCCCCAGACACCCACCTACCCTGGTAGAGACACTGCCCACAACAGACCCACCCACTTGGCAGAGATGCTGTCCGTTCCTCGTGGAGACAGTGTCCCTGCCTTGGCCTTGTTTCTCTGGGCAGAGACATGGCCTCCGAAATAAGACCCCGTCCATCCCAGTACCCGATTCCTGGGTGGGAACCAGCTTTCCCGAGGAGATGCTGCTTTTCCCTCCCACATCTGTACCCCTCCAGGTGGGTCTGTCAAACCCCAAAATGTCTCAATGCTGGGCACAGGGAGCCCTGCCCCAGAGAGATGATTCTCCTGCGAGGCATTCTCACTCCAACAGGGAGCCAGGTGGGCAGAAGAGAGGAAAACAGGAGGAGCCTCATCCTTGCTCTCCCCACCCTGCATGCAGCACGGGGAAGCGTCCACAGCCCTCCTGCCCCACGGGCACCGTCCTTGCGTCCACAGCCCTCCTGCCCCACGGGCACCGTCCTTTGCCAAGTTGTGAATGGAGGGGTCCTCGTCAGTGCTGGGTGTTGAAAACACAGCTACCTGGGACAGTTCTCTGCCCTCCAGGACTCACAGGCTGGAGCGAGAGAGTGACCAGGAGACAGGTCATGACCGTACTGTGTGGTCACTGCAATGAACAGAATCCTTGGGGGCACTGTGCCCCGTCTAGGCTGCAGGGCCCAGTGTCATTGGGTTCAAGGCCCCAGATAGCCAGGTGAGAGTGCTGGTCCTGGGCCAGCCAGAATTAGGTCAGCCTCTCTTTAAGTTACTTTTCTTCTTTTTACTCTCAATGAGATGGAACTTGGAGAACGCCAGCTGACAGAGGCTGGCCAAAGGAGTTTTTCTCATCCTCCACCAAGTGCCGTGCTAAGACATATCCTGATTTTACCTGCTGCAGTCTCTACCTAAAGGTGGGATTCTCCACCTACCGGAGTGGTTTGAGGCTCCAGAGCAGGTGTGGTGCACCTGGGGAGCGGTGTATTCGTGTCCTAGGGCCGCCATAACAGAGTACCGCCAACCAGGTGGCTTCAAACAACAGAAATTTATTCTCTTGTCCTTCTAGAGTCATCTAGAAGTCCAAAATCAAGGTGTGGGTAAGGCCACATTCCCTCTAGAGGCTGTATCCCTCCAATCTCTGCCTCTGTTGTTATTTGACCTTATATGTTCATCTCTAAGTATCTTCTTTTCTTATAAGGACATGGGTCACATTGGATTAAGGGTCCACCCTACTGCAGTAGGGCTTCATTTTAACTTGCATCTTAATTTATCTGCAAAGACTCTATTACCGAATAAGGTCATAGTCACAGGAACGTGGGGTTTGGAGGGACACAGTTCAATGCACCGCAGGGTGTGACAGTAGGGTTTGCCCACTGGCTTGAGCTTGGGCAACCACTCCAAGTAAGAATCTTTTTACTGCTTCCCCTGGAGCAGAAATGGTGGTCCCAGGGGTTACCTCTCTGGAGAACCCACAGAGCAGGTTTTGTCCTAAGTCTTTATAGAGAAACAAAGAGCCAGGAAACAGGATTTTTAACAAATGGGACTCTACATAGAGGATTTGCCGATGCTACGTGCTCCCCTTTCTAGCACACGTGCAGCCCACCTGGAAAGGGACAAGCGGACTTTGGTTGACTCTCCTTGAAAACCATAGGCGTGGTCTGTTAACCCCAGAATTCTTGGGAGAAGGAAAATTCAGCACATGTCACCTCCATGCTCTCAGTCCCACCATGGGGATGTCCTCAAATGTCGCCATCGCCGGGGCCAGGCCTGACTTCTCTCTCATCTTTCTCCCTGTCTCTCTGTCCCTCCTCCCCTCCCTGCGGGCCTCAGGGTACAGCCTGTTCCTCGTGGCAGCCCATGAGTTTGGCCATGCAATGGGGCTGGAACACTCAGAGGATCCCGGAGCCCTGATGGCCCCCATTTACACCTACACCAAGAACTTCCGCCTGTCGCATGATGACATCAAGGGCATTCAAGAGCTCTATGGTAAGCCTCAGCTTGGGGTCCCTGGGGCAGAGGTCTGGGGAGGTCATGCCACCGGGGATGGAGGCCCAGGGAGCGAAACCATCCAGGTCCCATTTGTCTAGGACTGCAGGAGACAAGGGCAGGAGTGTTAACCTGGTCTGGGTGTGTCAGAGCAACTCTCCAAGGGGGCCCTTGGACAGTCCTTTCCTTTCCAAATAACACCAGTGTCTGTGCCCCACTTGGTTCCCCAGAGCCATGCTATGAGGCAGGCGGGGCAGAAATGGGCTCTCCATTTTCTAGGCGGGTCAACTGAGGTATGAGAAAGGTAACCCTCTGGGCCAAGATCAACCAGGTTTATGTATCCAAGTGAGGCTTAGAATCCAGGAGGATTAGCTAAACACAGGGTAGAGTTTCCCAGTGCCTGGAATGACCTTAGTGTTACAGGGGTGCAAGTTTCTAGTCTTCCTAACGATTCTTCTATTTTAACATGTAATAGGATCAATACAACTAGTACCTGAAACTAGGGATTTTATTTATATTAATGCTTACAGTGAGGCCAGAGTTTACAAAGTAACTCCATTTTAAAAAAAGAAAAGTCAATATGGAATAGTACTGGTGGTACCTGGACAAAGCTGAAATCATGGAACTGGCTCTGGAGTGATGAAGTGTGGGGAACATTGGACTCGGGGAAGAACTGCAGTAGAGTGAGAGGCTGTGGGTTCGAGTGCTGCCTCTGCCACTCACCAGCCGCAAAAGATGGAGCCGGTCTTTACCTCTTTCGACTCAGTTTCTTCATCTCTAAACTGCGGCTGGTTATCCTAAGGAGTGAAGGAAGTACCACACCCCCCAGTGCTGGACACACAAGTATCCCCTCTGACCACCGTGACTCTCCTGTGGGCTTACTAACATGAGCTTTGGGTTTAAATATTTGGGCAAGTCATATACAACCTTTCTGGGCCTCAGTTTCCTCATCTGTAAAATGGGGGTGATAATGATGCCTACCTCTTAGGGATGTAGAGAGGACTGATTCTGAGGATGTCAGGGAAGAGCATTTGTAAAAGGCGAAGGGCCACAGGATTCCGGTTTCTGTTCAGTCTCCTCTCTCCAAGTCCAGGCCTCGTCCCCCGTCTTCCCTGGGCTGACACCGAGGCCAGAATACTATTCTTCTGATGCTTCGCAGGTTGGGTGGGCCAGCCTAGGGGCTCAGCCTGGTAGGGAGAACCCCTGGAGCTGCGGAGAGTCTGAGTCTGAGGTCAGGTGTCCTCCTCCAGGGGCCTCCCCTGACATTGACACTGGCACCGGCCCCACGCCCACACTGGGCCCCATCACTCCTGAGATCTGCAAACAGGACATCGTCTTCGATGGCATCTCTCAGATCCGTGGGGAGATCTTCTTCTTCAAGGACCGGTAAGTGCGGGATCTCGCTTCTTGTCCTCCTTGCCCTCTGCCCCTTCTCTGTTATTCTCGTGCCCATCTCTTGCTCAAGGATCCTACTGTGGGCTTCACAGAATGGCCTGCATGAGACCATTTTTGCTGCGTGTCAGGTAGATCCTGGTGGCTACACAACAGGCATTTCTTGTGCCCTCTTCTAGTCTGTGGGTCTACTAGGTGCCTTGGCTTCGGGCTGCAGTTTGGGCTCAGGTATGCTCTGCGTGTCACTCATTCTCCTGGGATTAGCGGCTACTTGTGGCACATGGCAGGAGCACAAGAGGCCGAATCAAAACCACACAAGCACATTTAAAGCCTTCAGTCTCAGCATGTTTGAGAATATTCCACTGGCTCAAGCAAATCACGTGGCCAAGCCCAACACCTACTCTAGGGGATGGTACTGCATAGTCGTGTGACAACACACGTGGATGTATACTTCTAAACTAGGGATGGAGGGAAGAATTAGGAACAATAATCCAGCCTACCACAGGCCTTCTCCTGGAATGGCCTTGACCTAAAATGTTCTATGTACGGGGAGCAAGTAACCACAGAGTAGAAAGAAGTGGTGTCCTTCGTGCTATAAACAAAGGCCCCGACTCAATCCATCAGGGGCTAAGACTCACCCAGCCATCCTAAAGGCAGGCAGAATCTAGGACTACATTAAAGGGTCCATCCATCATCCATCAGTCCATTCATCTGTCTGTCCATCATCCATCCATCTATCCATTATCTGTCCATCCGTCATCCATTGTCCATATCCATCATCAAGCCATTCATCATCCATCCATCTGTCCATCCAGAGAGCATAATAGCTCAGAGAATGGTTCTGGAGCCAGATTGCCTGGGTTAGAATCCTGGACCTGCTACTAACCAGTTGCATGATTATAGGCAAGTTAATTGTGTATCTCTTTTTTTTTTTTTTTTTTTTTTTTGCGGGACGCGGGCCTCTCACTGTTGTGGCCTCTCCCGTTGCGGAGCACAGGCTCCGGACACGCAGGCTCAGCAGCCATGGCTCACGGGCCCAGCCGCTCCGCGGCATGTGGGATCTTCCCGGACCGGGGCACGAACCCGTGTCCCCTGCATCGGCAGGCGGACTCTCAACCACTGTGCCACCAGGGAAGCCCTGTGTATCTCTTTTTAACCTCAATTTCCTCATCTCTAAAATGGGATGAATATTCCAACCTATCTCACAGGGCTGTCGTAAGGATTAGGTGAGCTTAGTGCTTAAAAGAGTGCCTGACACAGACTAAGTGCGCTCAAGTATACTAGCTGTTACTATCGACAAATAATTACTTGCCATCTACTGTGCCAAATCCTTTGCTAGGCTTTGGGAGCTGGGGGTGCAAGGTGTTGTTCCAGAGGTGGAGGGGCTGCTTAATGCCTGAATCGGTGTCTTCAAAAAGAGGTCAGTGGATCTCCCACACAGAAACCACCTAGAGTGTGAGGGTTAAACGTGTGGGTTTCTGTCCTCACCCTCAGGCCCTCTGACTGGAATCTCTGGGAATGGGTCCCAGGCGTCTGCATTTAAGAAAATTTCCCCATGGGAATTCCCTGGCGGTCCAGTGGTTAGGACTCTGAGCTTTCACTGCCGAGGGCCTGGGTTCAATCCCTGGTAGGGGAACTAAGATCTCACAAGCCATGTGGCACAGCCGAAAAAGAAAAAAAAGAAAATTTCCCCAGTGATTCTGATGCACATTAAAGTTTGAGCACCCCCAGTCTGGTTTAGGGAATAGAGGCATAGAGGACTGACATGGCAGAATGAAAGAGATATGACTGCAAGAGACATTAGCAAAATGCTTTGTGGACACGTCCAAGTGAAGGAAGAGTTCTGCAGGTGAAGCAGCACTCAAGGGGAAACATTAAAGGAGAAGCAGATGCGGATGGACGTGATGGGGCTGGCAGGGTGGGAGCGTGTTTGAGATGAGGGAACTGCAAGAACAAAGCCATAGAGATGTGAAAGTTCCTGGCTTTTCCCGGGAGAGCCTGGTGAGGCTGAAGATATTCCAAAGACTCTTGTGAAGGGGCTCCTCTGCTCCAGGCACTGGGCTAGGTGCCGGGGGGCAGATGCCAGTAGGGAGAGAGAGGGCAAGAATACAGAGTGAGATGAGACCCAAATTGCAATGAGAAGTCAGGTCCATCAGGCCATGAACGCCCAAACCAGGACATGTAACAACAGATGTCAGTGCTGTCCTGCAGCCCCCATTACAGGGCTGGGGAAGAGGTGAGCCCAGGGGCCCCGTGCCCCAGCACCACCCTTGGTCTGGAGCACTTCTCCCTAAAGAAACCCTGACCACACGTGCGGATCTGAGTACAGAGTTGGGAAAGGGTGCAGTGCCTAGGCCCAGGTCGGAGCCATCCCTGGCCTGACACATCACACTTTCTTTCAAAAGGAAGTTGATGAGTGTTTAACGGACTCCTTGAATTAATCAGTAAATATTTAAGCTCTGGGCTTCCCTGGTGGCGCAGTGGTTGAGAGTCCGCCTGCCGATGCAGGGGACACGGGTTCGTGCCCCGGTCCGGGAAGATCCCACATGCCGCGGAGCGGCTGGGCCCGTGACCCATGACCGCTGAGCCCACGCGTCCGGAGCCTGTGCTCCACAACGGGAGAGGCCACAGCAGTGAGAGGCCCGCGTATCGCAAAAAAAAAAAAAAAAAAAAATTTAAGCTCTGACCATATGCAGAAATTGGTGCTAGGCATTGTGGGGGACAAGAAAGGCAGTATTGTAGGATAATTAAACTCAGACTTTGGAGTCAGATGTGGATTTGAATCCTGGTAATTCCATTACCTCTCTGAGCGTCATTTGCCAAATAAGGATGTGATACTTTCCTGTATCAGGATGTTTTGGCTGCAAGTAACAGAGAATCCCAGCTGAAACCAGCTTAAACAATGGAAAGAAATTACTCCCACGTGGTACAAAGTCCAGGGGTAGGGCTGCCTCCAGGGGCAGAAAGAGGGTCACTGATTCAATGATGTCTTCGTCCACTGCTCTCCTTGGCATTGTCTTCATCCTAAGACTGGGTCCCTCAGGGTCACACAATGGCTGCCAGTGGCAACTGGGGCTATAAACTTCCTTGCAGACATCCAGCAGAAAAGAAAGAGAGAGACAGATCTCCAGATGTGAACTATAAGTGTATGTGTTCAATCTTATTGTGCCAACATAGGACATATGGCCACTGCTGAATCAATAACAGTTGCCAGGGAATGCTAAGCTCCGATAGGCTTAGATCAGCGGTTCTCAAACTTTGGCATGCATTAGAATCATCTGGAAGGCTCTTAAGACATAGATTACTGGGCCCCAAGCCCAGAGAGTCTGATTCATGGGTCCTGAGTCGGGTGCAATAATTTGCATTTCTAATGAGTTCCAGGTGTTGGTCTGGAGCTCACACTTTGAGAACCAGTAGCTTAAACTCATCAGAATGGGGATTGGGTCCACCTATAGGAAAGGAGGGGCCATAAATGTGGGAATTTTGTGAGGGAGGATGCTAGGGAAATAAGATAATAGATGCTGGGTAGACCACTGAGAGTGCATATTATCTTATAATATTGACATTGAAATCGACATTTTACAAGCCACATAAAGTGCTTGGCACTTAGTAGGCCCTCAATAAACGATGGCTCTTTACCACTCCTGCCAAAGTGCCTGAATCCATCATTTCAATTCAGGAAATACTTTTGAGCACCATCAGCCTCTGCCTGAATTGGCTTTGAATCTGACAGGAAAGATAAGACACTTAAAAAAACAAACAATCAAACTACTCTTCTGAGCACTCAGTGTTGATGATTTTAAGAGGCTCAGAGGAGGGAGAACACAGTAAGGGACAGAAGTAGTTAGGGAAGGCTTCCTGGAGGAGGGAGCAGGAGGGCGAGCAAAAGGTTGCTTCTCAGCCCTGGCATCTTGCAGAGGGGGCTCTGCCCATTCTCCAGTCCTTCTCCACCCTTTCTTTGATCTCACCTCCCCACCTCCCAGGGAATCATCCAGGGATGTTTCTGAGAGGGCTTATAGAGGCATGTGCCGTTACAACTGCAGAGTGACTGAAGGTTTGGTTTCCTGTGTCCCCTTCCCCCACCCAGGTTCATTTGGCGAACAGTGACACCACGTGACAAGCCCATGGGGCCCCTGCTGGTGGCCACATTCTGGCCTGAGCTCCCGGAAAAGATCGATGCTGTATACGAGGCCCCACAGGAGGAGAAGGCTGTATTCTTTGCAGGTGCGTGGGAGGGGAGCTGCCTGGCCCTGGGCTCCAGGCGGCACTGCACCGTGATTCCTGTGCACTGGTGGGTGTTCCCTCTCCTTTATGGATCCATTCTTTCAACCATCATCTGGGAGATGGGTTCAGACACCCAGCATCAACTAGCACTGGCCCACAGAACGACCATTTCAATAACCTTTTAATCCCTTTTCAATCCTTCTGACTCCTTTTCCAGAGGGAAAATGACACTTTAGTTCTGGTGTCTGTAACACCTTCCTAATGCTAGTGCCTTTGGCAGATGACAATTTTAATTAGAATTTTTTAAACACCTATTTGTTTTCATTTTTAATGTTTAAATGTATTTCTATAGACTTCAAAATGAATTCCTTGAAAGCAAAACGTTAATTCGAGTTAAGTAATATGAGGAGACTCTATAAGTGGTAAAAATCACCGAGGTAGGGTCACATGGGTAACATTTGGGAAACCCTGCTCATTTAATCTTTATTCGAGCACCTATCATGTGCCAGAGATGCAGCCCCTGCTCTCAGGGAGCTCATGAACTAGTGGGGGAGACAGAAAACCAGGCTGTTAGGAGGGAGCTCAGGAAGGGCTGCGGTGGAGGCCCAGGGGTGGCTTCCTGGGGGCACTGAAGCACCACGGGTGCATGTTCCACCAGCCGGCTTCCCAGCTCCTCCAGCCCAGAGTGATGAGAGCAGCTGCTGGCTCACAGGGGACCTTTGTGCAAATTAGAAAAAGGTGCCTCTTCACAACAGGTGTGGCACTTAGAGTCTCTGGCTTGGTAAGTGGAACCAGGCTAGGACTCACTCCCACTTACCTACTTGGCCAGGGACCTTCCATAACCGATTTGTAAAACCTTATATGTGGACCCTGATTCCGGACACTGAATGCGGAACTGGGCAGAACTCGTGTCCCTGCTGAGAAAGGCCACAGTGGCGTCCCTAGCAGATGGATGGTGGGAGGAACAGCCTCCAGCACCTGCCACCAGCCCACCCTCTTCTTCCACCCCAGGGAATGAATACTGGGTCTATTCAGCCAGCACCCTGGAGCGAGGGTACCCCAAGCCGCTGACCAGCTTGGGGCTTCCTCCTGATGTCCAAAAAGTGGATGCTGCCTTTAACTGGAGCAAGAACAAGAAGACGTACATCTTCGCTGGAGACAAATTCTGGAGGTAAGGGAGGGCGGTGCGAAGGAAAGCGGCACCATCAGCTGCGTGGACAGAGAGAAGACACGGGCTTTGAGCCTCCTGGGTTAAGTCTGGAGGCTGGTGGACCATGGATGCCCCCTCTCTGGTCTCTAATCTGCCAAGGTTATTGGCCCTCTGAAAAGTCACCAAAGGGTGAGCTATTCTTGGGCACATTACTGGTACAATTCTGGTTAGATCCTCCTTTCCCTTCTCAGAAGTCTTTGGATTGGGCCCATGTCCGTCAGGTCTGGAGCCCCATATTTTAGAGTGAATCACTGAAGAAGGGAGTGATAGAAATAAAGATAATAGCTGCTACTCTGATGCTATGTGCCAGACACCATTCCAAAGGCTTTATGAGGTGGATATTATTATTACTATTCCTCCCATTTTACAGGTGAAGAAAGAGGTTCAGAGAGGTTAAGTGTCTAGCTTAAAGTCACACAGCCAAGTAGTGGCAGGCTGGGATTTAAACCGTGGAATTCTGGCTCCCAGAGAACATTCTTCACTTTTCTACACTATACCTGAGATAGTGGGGTCCCAAGAGATGGGGGTGGTGGAGGCAGGGATGGCAGATAGCAAACATAGGATGAAAACTGAGACGGGTGTCCACTGGAGCCAGCATCCAAATTCAGCCTCAGTGAAAACAGCGGCACCCTCTGGCCCGTCTGCCGCAGGCTCAGTAGCTGTGGGCACAGGCTGGCCGGGGGCCAGTGTGGAAGCAGGTAGCTCTCTGCTCCAGCTCGTCTAAAGGGAAGGATCTGATTCTGAGAGGCCACGGTCAGGCCTGAGGGTCAGGGAGCCTGATCTCCAGGAAAGGTTAGTGAGAGGCAGCCCAGACCTCAGGAGTTTGATTTTAAATCTTCACATTTCCTAGATGAGGAATCTGAGGTCCATAGAAATGAACCAACTTGTCTTAAGTTATTTATAGGCGAGTGTGTTGGCCACAGATTATAGGATTATAACCGCTTCTTCTGGTTTCTAACCCTGGGCCCCCTGCACTGTACCCTCAGGGTCATCGGGTCGGTGGGGGAGGGGTGGTCTTCCTCCTTCCCTCCTCGCGTCCCCACGTTTCCTCCCGTGGCTGCATCTGGACCTTTGTCTGCCACCCCTGGAACAATCCTGCTTCCCTCCCAAGGCCTCTCTCCTCCCGTCTCCTCCCCACCACCCGCCCCCAGCTGCCCTGCATTCAGGAGCTGTTTATGTCCCAGGCTGCCGTGGCAGGGTGGAATTCCAGACATATTGCTAAGATGCTTAGCAACTTAAGCTGATTGATATCTCAAGCCTCAAGAAAGGAAACAGTCAGCCAGGAAAACGCGGAGCAGGCACTCTGCCCACAGGCTCCAGAACACTGTCAGGCACGCGCACGTACTGGGGAAGGGCATCTCGGCACAGGAGGCGCTCCGAATCTCTGGATCTTAGCATCACGCACAGCAAGAGGCCCAGCCTCACAGAGCAGAATCATAGAACCCTTGCCTTTGAATCATGGTGTTGAGAGGACATTTATAATCACCCCCAGCACGTACGGTGAATGTAAACATGAGAACAGACGTGTCCATGCACGCGCACGCACACACACACACACACACACACACTGATGCTCACGCTGTGGTGGTACCTTGCTGGGTTTTGGGCAGAGTTATCTGCTTCCCAGTCCTTTTCCACAGCAAGCCCACCTCACAAAGCCTGGATCTGGGATGGACAGCCTGCTCCACAGAGGAAGTTCTGTGAATCTTCCTTAAAAGCAGCAGAACTGAAACATCTATTGGAAACATCTGTTTCCAAAGGAGACAGATCTTTTTCCCGAGAGAGGTAGTTAATGAGCTCGAGACATTGGTCCTGGTGGAGTCTGCCGATTCCCAGGCCTCCTTTCTGGAGAAGGAGAGAGCGCTCCAGAATGACAGAGGACGAGCAGCTGCTTCCAGATTGGGCAAACCCTAGGTCATGCCAGGGAGTGCTCAGCCCTTGCTTCTAGAAGCTTCCACTAAACCCACAATAATATATTCAATATCTCCTATGTGCCAGACAATTACCTAGGTGCTGGAAGATAGCTGTCAAGAAATAGTCTCTCTCTGCCTGGTAGAACTTACAATATTGTGAGGGGAAGAGACATAAACACATACAAATAAAATAGTGATGGCTCTTGTGATGGGACCTGTACCACATCCCAGGGCTGTGCATTTCACTTGTATTTCTCATTTAAGGTAGATGCTATTATTAACTCCATTTTCTAAGTGTAGAAACTCAGGCTGAAGTGCCTCAAGGATATACCTTTGAACAAGCTTGGACACAAATGTCTGTGTTCTTTTTTTTTTTTGCGGTACGCGTACCTCTCCCTGTTGTGGCCTCTCCCCTGGCGGAGCACAGGCTCCGGATGCGCAGGCTCAGCGGCCATGGCTCACGGGCCCAGCTGCTCCGTGGCATGTGGGATCTTCCCGGACCGGGGCACAAACCCATGTCCCCTGCATTGGCAGGTGGACTCTCAACCACTGCGCCACCAGGGAAGCCCGATGTCTGTGTTCTTAACACCTGCTCTGCACTGCAATTCTACAGCCAGAAGGGAGAAGTTCAGAGGGTCACAGAGAAGCCTTTCAAAAGAGTGTACCAGCGAGCAGGAAAGGAGGCTCCCAGAGGAGGCTCTGGGGACAGAGAGGAATGTGAAGAGGTGTGGTTCTGTTCAGAGCCAACATGTTCTGATGGCTCCATGCTGTACTCTTCCTGGAGGAAAAGAACTTGGAAGCAAATTGGTTCACTTCTCCGAGCCTCAGTTCCCTCATCCATCAAATGGGGTTGCTTCCTGCTATCCCTACTTTCCGTGGGTAGAGTGAGAAAGAAATGAGGGCAAGTTCAAGGACACATAGCTCTCAGCCATCATCACTCTAGAGAATGTAGTTTGGGAGGTCAGTGCAGGTGACATGGATGGATTGCTAGAATTTTGAGCTGGGAAACTTGGTTTTGGTACCCCAGGTCATGAGGAAGCATGCTAGGTTTGGCAAGAAGAAGTTTCATGACAGAACTGGGATTAGGAAGGCTTTTCTGGCAGTTCTGAGGGTGATGGGCAGAGGGGGAAGACCCCTGTAGAAGGGGACTCAGAGAGGAAGCTGTTTTTGGCATCTGGGGCGGAGGTTGTCAGGCTGGCTGTGGGGAAGAAGAGAGTCAGCTATGAGGCTGATGCTTGGCTGTCACCGGGATGGCATTCAAACACAGATCTATCTAGAAAATCAGCATCATGAGGGCAAGACTTTATCTTGTTGATTACAATATCTACAGCGACATGGTGGGAGCTCATTAAATATTTACAGAATAATAAATATATTGAGTGTAAGTGGAGAAGCAATGGAATCAAAATAACCCCAGCATTTAAAAAGTTCTCCCTCCAAATTAAAAAGACACAGATGTTGCTAGCCAGAAAGAATACGCCAACTAATACTTAAGGTATTTACACAAATTAAAGGCAGAGCCCAAGATAACGACTTGCCCTGAGAACTGCAATTGGGACTGAGGTGGCAGGAAGTCGCCCTGTGACTGACAGGGCTTGGGTTCACACACCACCTTGTACTGTAACCTCACTGTCCCAGCCAAGATCATCGCCCAGGTTGTGGACTGTCAACTCCACTTGACAGATGAAGAAGCAGTATTTGTCCAAGCTGAGCCGTGAAGGGCAGTGATGGGGCCGGACCCTGTCTCTGGGCTCCTGGGCCAGTGCTGTTTGTACTGCAGCAGCGATCAGAGTTTGTAAGGGAACTAACATTTCCCAGATACCTACCCAGTACCAGATACTGGGATAGGCACTTTGCATGTTTTACTCTGTTTCACGTATGTGTTAATTAAATACACTAAATTAATTATAACCCATTTTACAGATGGTAAAACTGAGGCCCAGAGAGCAGTTTGCTGCCCTGAGCCAGACAGGCCAGGGTTGGACTCCCTCTTAGAAACTGGGTGCCCTTTTTAAGCCTCTGGTCTGTAAAATGGGTATTATGGTAGTGACTGTGTCTTAGCGTTGTCGAAAGGATTGAGAAAGTATATGGAAGGTGGGTAACACACTGCTTAAACGTGAGCAGTAATCACAAGATTGTTTTCATGGGGCTGTCCAAAGTCACCTGATTAGTGAGTAGTGGAATTAGGATTCACCCAGGTCTGACTCCCTGCCCCTCAGCTCCAGTCAATGGCCTCCCTGAAGGGCTAGGTCTGGCTTCCCAGGCTCACCCAGGAGCCATCATCCCGGCCCTCCCATCAAGTTGGGGAAGGGCTGGCCTTTAGGGATTCCCACAGGTTCACCATGGCCATTTCCCTGCAGATACAATGAGGTGAAGAAGAAAATGGATCCCGGCTTCCCCAAGCTCATCGCAGATGCCTGGAACGCCATCCCTGATAACCTGGATGCTGTGGTGGACCTGCAGGGCGGGGGTGAGCTGCCCAGGCCTCTGTCCACTTTCTAGGACTCCCTGCCCCCCAGCCAGGGCCCTGCTCCTCGCAAGCACACACTCCCTTATTGTGCAGGAAAGCATGCGGCGCCCCGGGAAAACAAACCAGCCCCTTCAACGCAGTGCTGGGAAGGCATCCAGACCCCTGACCTCTGCTCACTCAGCTGGCTCCAGGCTATAAGACCCAGAAAGGCCCCTCACAGCTGCAGAGCCTGGAGCCAGGGAGCAGGGAGGGCGGGAGGCCTGCTGGGAGCGAGAAACCTGGGCTCAGTGCCCTGGATTCATTCTGGGGTTTGATCCAGGCCCTTTTGGGTTCCGCAAGGGGCCTTGTGACTGCTTCCTATTAGCAGAAGGATGGCTCCATTTGAGACAGCACAGACTTTGTTAGGCCCTGCTGCTGAGGTGGCAGAGATAGCCCATCGGCTCAATTTGTCCCTGGTCCCTTGCTGAATGAAACACCAAACCAGCGAGGGATAGAGTTTGGAGTTTGGAAACCATATTCCTGAGGAGGCTTCTGGGAGGTCTCTAGGGCCCTGGAAATGAGTCCAGTTTGGCTTTTTAGAGGAGATTTCAATTAAATTTCGCAAAGAAGCTTCTTGAGTTCCTATCACACGCTAAGCACATGGCCCTGACCTCCAGGGGCTAAAGGTCTTACATGTCCAGGAAAAAGCAGTATACAATCAGGTGCTAGGTTAAAGATTATCTTCAGAAATAAACGTCTACTGAGCACGTACTATATGCCAGGGTTTGAAAGGAAGAAAATGAGATCATATATGTTCAGAGTAAGAAATTCCAAAGCCCACAGGGGCCAAGCTGGTGGCCTGAATAAGTGATGCAGGCAGGGCAGACAGTAGGGAGTGGTGGGGTCTGTGGAGCACCAGAGAGCACATGGCTCATTTTCAGGGGACAGTTGCTTCTCGGCTTCTGGCGATCTCTGCCCTGCAAGAAAAGGGGAGCAGTGTTATTAGATATTCTAACTCTTTTAAAAGGAAGTGAGAAATCTGTATTTTCATATGAAATTTCCAGATGTTTACATGTTGGCCAGTTATTCAAAACAAAACAAAAGAAAAAACTGTGAACTAAATAAAACCAATCTGTGGGCCCGATGGGGCTAGCAGCCTCCTGGTTTGCCACCTCTGGAAAAGGAAAGTGCCTAGTTTGGAGCTTGTGCTCAGTGGAGTTCTGTTATTTATCTTAATTATAGCATATATCATCTCATTTAATCCTCAGAAGCCTTAAGAGGTGGTATCGTTATCCACATCTTAAAGATGAAGAAACAAAGACTCAGAGAGCATAATTCCACAGCCGTTTCCCTTCTTCCAGCCTCACAGGGGTCTCCTGTGATTTAAAAGCTTCTTCCCTATGGCAGGCAGACTTGTAAAACTCTCAGGAACCTTCCCTGTGCCATAATGCCTGAGGATGGCTTGGTCACAGCCTCTTCTCTTTCTCATCCCAGGTCACAGCTACTTCTTCAAGGGCGTGTATTACCTGAAGTTGGAGAACCAAAGTCTGAAGAGCGTGAAGTTTGGAAGCATCAAGTCCGACTGGCTGGGCTGCTGAGCTGTCTCTGCCTCCCCCAGGGCCTGCCTCTCTATCACTTTCTGCACACCGGGCCCTGAGCATCAGGGAAGGACCCGGATGGGCCTGGCAGCCCTCAGCTCTGTAGTTAATCAGCATTCTCACTCCCACCTGGTAACTTAAGAAACCACAGAGTGGCTCTGCCCTGTGCTCCAAGAAAGGTGCTGATTGTACCCGTCCCAGGTGCCCCTCCCCCTCCACACCTCACCAGCCCTCCAGAGCCACCCCCAAAGAGATGCTTTGATATTCTCAATGCAGCCTTGTCTTGGGCTGCCCTGGTGCTGCCACCCTTCAGGCTCTTCTCCTTCCACAACCTTCTGTGGCTTTACAGCACCCTTGGAGCCAACAGAGACTGTCTGAAGAGGGCACTGGTGGCCCGACAGCCTGGCCTGGCATGGGGCAGTGGGAGAGGGGCATGGCCCGGTGGCCACGCCAGACACCTGGCCTTCTCACTGCTGGCTGCCTTAGAACCGTCCCTACATTAGCAGTTTGCTTTGTATGCACTTTGTTTTTTTTTTTTTGTTTTGATCTATTTTTCCACTTTGAAATTGCGTTTCCTGACAGAAGGACTCAGGTTATCTGAAGTCACTGCACAATGCATCTCAGCCCACGTAGTGATGGTCCCCTTGGTCACTCTATTTAGTATGTCCCTCCTCTGTCACTTACTCCACTGGATGGAGGAAAACCAAACCCTGGCTCCTCACCCAGTCTTCCCTCCTCTCCCTTCAGCAGTTTCCCCGTGGGAAAAATCAACAAGTATGAATAAAGACACCGATTGAGTGGCCATGTTGGCCGGCTGTTTTAGCAGAGACTAGAGAGGGGCCCCAGCCCCAGCCAGAAGAGGAAACTTAGAAAGTCTAAATCTTCGCTCCCTGCAGCATACAGGTAACATATGCTGGAAAGGTCACAGATGCCCAAATAAACAGCGAGAGACTCAGGGTGGGTGAGCTGGAGTCCCTCTGTCCCGTGGAAAGAGCCCTGGAACAGCAGCGTTTCTGTTATTTAATTGTAGGTCCTTGTTCAAGGTTTCCTCTCTTCTTGAGTCTGTTTCTTTGTTGACAGTAACACCAATTCTAATACTAATAACAGTGAACAACAGTAATACCCCTTCCATTAATAGAATGCTTACTACATGCCAGGCACTTCACGTGCATCACTTCATTTAACCTTTATACCAACCTAAAGAAGGGAGAATATTATTAGTCAATTTTTATTGATAAGGAAACTAAGGCTTGGAGAAAAGTGATTTTCCCAGGATACCATAGATACTGGGTAACATCCTGACTCAAGGCCAAAGATGACCTAGAGAAGAAGGTTTAGCCGGAAGCTGAGTATCTCCCTCAGCAGCATTAACCTTCACCTCCCCCAAAACCCTCTAAGTAAACTCAACTAGGGGAGAAATGTGTGTGCTTTCTAAACACAGCTTCTATTAATGGGTAAGCTCCTTACCTTCCTCTCCAGCAGATTGCCCATCTTTAATCCCTTCCTATATAGAAATTCTGGAGCTGCTACAGAACAGAAACTTAAGGCCTGGGGTTATTTCAGAGGCCCTTTCTGGCTCCGATAGACTATTACTTCAGGCCTCTCATGGTGGGGCTGGTAGGGAAGCGGATGATGAGTGCACAGGTCTCTCTGAAAGTGACCTTGGTGGAGTCCTGTTTTCTCCTGTGGCCTGCCCAATCGCTCCGGTCCTTGAGGGCTCTTGGAGAGACTGCCTTCTGTGCTAAAGAACCATAAGGGTCTGCCACCCTCTACTTGAAGACCCCAAAGCTGGGGCACTTTATATCATGGCTGTAATATGTTGTTATTAAGGTTCTCTGTTAAATACTGAGAAAATTCAGCTGCTCCACTATGTAATACCTAAAAGGTGCCATTTCTTGAGTGCTTTTCTATGAACACTACACATGCATTATTTTACTTAATTGATACTACTGGGTTGGCCAAAAAGTTCGTTCGGGCTTTTCCATAGCGTGGTGTGGAAAAACCCAAACAAACTTTTTTGGCCAACCCAATACAATCCTATGGGATAGGAATTAGTCTTCCCATTCTGAGGTGAGTATGCAAGCTCAGAGAGGTTAAGTGAGTAGCTGAAGGCTGCATCTATCTGGTAGGGTTGGAAGATTCTGAGATTCTACAGTGGACACCTTGGAAGGAGCAGCTGTCCCAGGGCCCAGAGTCAGATTCTCATCATGCCTCCAGCCTGCTGTGAGCAGTTGACCAGTAAAGATAAATCATTCACCATCTCCATCTGCCTCTCAGCCACTCAGGGCTTTACCAGCTGATCTCAGGCCCTGGGAAAATCCTCCCCCTCAGCCCCACCAACAAAGGTCCAGATAGGCCCTTGAACTTCTTCAGGGTGAAGTGGAACCACAGCCCAAGTCACTTCCCTTTTTGAGGCCAGGTTCCTCATCTAGTGCAGAGGGCAGTGGTGGTTTTGTCATTTTCTAGTAATTACAGCTTCAATTTTCCTTTGGAGAACTATCTCCCCATTGTCAGTCCATGTTTTGAGTGAAAGAGATTCCACTCCTGGTACCAATTTCTATATTAGTCAGGAGTCTTAGCGGTAACTGATAAATATCCCACCCAAACGGGTTTAAGCAAAGCCAAAACATACACCAGAAATCAAACCCACCCTGGATAATTAACCCTCTCACAGGAACAGCCCAGGGGTTGCTACTTGAATTGCTGGATTCAGGTTGTTTATGTGAGCTCCATTTATCCCCGATTACGAAGGGGGCAGCGGAGTCTCATGGAGACAGTGATTTGACCAACGTCAAAGAGCCAGTAAACGCGAAAGGAAGGGCTTCCCTGGTGGCGCAGTGGTCAAGAATCCACCTGCCAATATAGGGAACATGGGTTCGAGCCCTGGTCCAGGAAGATCCCTATATGCCGCGGAGCAACTACTGAGCCTGCGCGCCTAGAGCCCGTGCTCTGCAATGGGAGAAGGCACCGCGATGAGCAGCCCCCGCTCGCCGCAACTAAAGCTAGCCCGTGGGCAGCAAGGAAGACTCAACGCACCCAAAAATAAATAAATAAATAAATTTCTTTAAAAAAAAAAAGCAAAAGGAAATCCAGGTCCGCCTGACCCTAAAGCAGAGAACTCAGCCTAAACTGTCTCTCATTGTGGGGTGCCTGGCTCTGAAGGAAAAACCTTCACCCCCAAGGAGGCTGAGCTATTAACCCCAAGAGGAAGAGCCGGACAACCTAAAAGGGTGGGGGTGTGCTCAGGGGGTGGGGCCAGGACCTGGGCGTGTTCAGAGCCGGAGGGGGCGGGGCGAGACCGGAGGGCGGGTAGGTAACTTTGGCGCCTGCGCAAAGACCCCGGACTCCTAAGCTGATCCCCCTCAAGCCTTGGCGGCAGCGGCAGCTCGCGCGCACCGCTTGTCTCTTCGCTCCTGTGAGGCGCCGGGCTCGGCCATGAACCAGTGCGCTGAGGCGGCGGCGGTGGCGGCCTCGGGACCTGGCGCGGGCGTCGGGAACGCGGGGCAGCGGCCGCCCAGAGTGCCCCGCCAGACGTCCTTCTTCCCGCCGCCCGTGCGCAACCCCTTCGTGCAGCAGACACGGCTGGGCGCGGCGAGGCGCATCCAGGTGCGGGGCGAGGGTCTGACAGGGGACGCAGGTTCAGGTGAGGGGCGGCTGACAGGGGACGCAGATTCAGGTGAGGGACGTCTGACAGGGGACGCAGATTCAGGGGAGGGACGTGGGTCTGAGAGAGGAGGCAGTCTGAGGGGAGCTTGGGCCCGTCAGGGGAGGTTGTTGTCAGAGGGGAGTGGCTGAGGAGGGCATGAGTCTGGGAAGCAAGGCTCTGAGGAAGACAGGGATGTAGATCTGAGGGGAGAGGGCTTTTGAAGGGGCCATGAGTCTGCAGGGGACAGAGATGCGGGACTGAAAACTGAGGGCCCTTGGAGGATGGTCTGGGGGCGTGTGTGAGAAAAGAAGACGCAAAGAACAGGTGGGCCTTGGAGGAAGGTCCTAGACAGGAGGAGGCCGAGCAGGCGGGCCGTTGGCAGAGGAAACATTCCATGCTGAGAAGAGGCAACGACTGTGGGAGAACTTCGACTGGAGTGTGTGAAAGTCTAGTGGGAGGTCATCGTAGCCCAGGAGAGCGGGTTTGGGGAAGTTTTCGCTTTGCCGCAGGGAAGGAGAGGAGTCAGTTTGGGATGGGAAGAGTAAGGGAGAAGGCAGGGAACCCAGGTCTGGAATTAGAACAAGAAGAAAGGCTGGGATGCTCCGGCTGAGCAGGGGCATCAAGGACGGGAAATCACAGTCTAAGAAAAGGGATTCTGTGGGGCAGCTTAAGGTAGTCAAGAGTTTTTGGTCCTGAGTCAGTTTTCGCCCAAACACTTCTACATTCAAGGATGAGAAGCAGCTCAGACTTTCTTTCATTCTTAAAAACAGCTACATACAAAAAGGAAGTTTCCTGTCCTTTCCTTTTTCTTGTAAAACGCTGCTCTTTCTTGTAATACTCGCTCTTTGGACTTCCTGTTTGGTGAAGTTAGTGATCAGAGAACAAGACAGACTATGCAAGCTACGTTTGTCCTTTGTGTTCTGCGTGGAAAAAATGGTTTTAATATTTTCCTGTCCATCTCACTCATTTATTTACTTTGGATTTGAAATAGTGTCATTTTTGCACGGCATACTTGTGTGCCCTGATACGATGGAAGCAGGTTAAGTTATTTATATATATATAAATGAATATATTCAGGAAAAAACGCATACGCACTTTTTGGCTAAGCACCATGGGGTGGTGGTTAGAATAATGGTAGATGGGTGTCTGGTTGAAGAAAGGTGTGAGAGAGGAAGAGGAAGATAGTGAATGTAGTAATACCTCTTTGTAAAGAAACTAAATGTTTAAAAATTTGATCTTCATGTCTTTAAATGGATAGATATTCCCTTTATATCTTAAAACTTCTGAAACAATAAATACATTGACTATCATTCAAGGTTCCTTTTGGTCTGATTCAGTCAAATCGGTCATACTTAAATGAAAGTCATGTCCGTCTATTTGGCTTCATGTTTTGGAGAGAGGTTTAAAGTGGCATATTTATAAGTATTTATATTGTACCTGGAGTAAATTATTAAGTTTTTGAGTTTTTGTTTTTTTTTTAATAGCATGCCTGCAACCATTTTGAGAGCACTTTCAAATAACCCTGCAAGAGTTGTAGGATGATGGAAAGATCACTAGTCTTAGTCAGAAAACCTGCTCAGGCCCTGCCATTTATTAGTTGTATAGCTTTGGCCAAGTCACTTAACCTCTCTGAACTTCACTTTCCTCATCTATTAAATTGGAATAATAATACATGGAAGAGGGACTAAAATTTAAGTGAGATAATGTGTGAAAGAATCTGGTATTGTTTGCTGATCTTAATATTGATAGTTAATGCTCTTTGTTATCTACAATTGTATACTGCACTTAAAATTTACCACTTGGATTGGATAGAAATGAATATAATCTCGATATTTTTTAAAAAATTAAAAATTTGGGCTTCCCTGGTGGCGCAGTGGTTGAGAGTCCGCTTGCCGATGCAGGGGACACGGGTTCGTGCCCCGGTCTGGGAAGATCCCACATGCCGCGGAGCGGCTGGGCCCGTGAGCCATGGCCGCTGAGCCTGCGCGTCCAGAGCCTGTGCTCCGCAACGGGAGAGGCCACAACAGTGAGAGACCCGCATACCTCAAAAAAAAAAAAAATTAAAAATGCATGTAGACCAGAGATTCCAAGGTAGTTTCAATGGCTTGAACAGTCTGGGTAAAAGGAAAATTTAAATAGACATGATTGAAAAACAATGTTGTCTGTATTATCCAGTTTAAAAGATTGATATACTTGCATTTAAGTATGATTTGATATGATTAAATCAGACTAAATTTAATCCTAAATGATGATCAATGTCTTGCTTAAGGACTGTTGTGACTTTTGTGTCTCATTATAGGGCTTAGCTTTATTGCTCCCCTTCTCTTTTATGACCGTTTAAGGGTCTGCTACACAATGGCATATAAAAAATTAGCCTAGCTTCTATTTCCTCAATAGAATATGGAATTAAAATGAGTGGTTTTAATTGTGGGGTCATTTACCATACCAAAAATATTTGTTGGATGCCTACTATGTGCCAGGCACACTGTTAATCCCCAGAGACATAGCAATGAACAAGAGAAATAAGGACCCTGCTCATTTAAAGCTTGTATTTCACTGAAAAAGTTAAACAAGCAAGTATAGAAATATATAATTCCATGTTTTAGTAAGTGCTATGAAGTAAATCCAGAGAGGAAAACAATCCCAATAGAGTGTTGAAAGAAGGCCTTCCTACAGAGATGACATATTAGCAAATGGCAATATAATGGGTAATCCTTTTAATTCGACAGAGTTACTCAGAATTGATTTTGTCATCTTAATAATGTTTAAAGATTAAAATTTTAAATCAACTTTGTGTATATACTAGCAGCAAACAATTGCAAAATGAAATTAAATAATCTCGTAATAGCAATAAAATGACCTGAAATACGTAGGAATATATTAACCAAAAGCATGTAAGACCACTACAATGAAAACAACAAAATACCATTGTGAGAAATTAATGAAGATTTACGTAAAATGAAGAGATATACCATGTTTATAAGTTTGAAGAATCGACATTATTAAGATGATAATTCCTCCCAAATTGATCTATAGATTCATTGAAATCTCAACAAAAATCCCAACAGGCTTTTTGTTTGTGTGGAAACTGACTAATTCTGAAATTTATGTGGAAATGCAAAGGATCTATATTAGCCCAAAAAAAGCTTGAAAAAGAAAAAGTTGGAGGACATACACTACCTTATGTCAAGAATTACTAGAAAGCTACAGCAATTAAGAGGGTAGGGTAGTATCAACAGAAGGACAGATGAATAGATCAATTGAACAGAATAGAGAGCCCACATGTATGTTCAATTGATTTTTGACAAAGTGGCCAAGAGAATTTATCGGGGAATGTCAAGTCTTTTCAAAAATTGGTTCTGGGGAATTCCCTGGAGGTCCAGTGGTTAGGACTCGGCGCTTTCATTGCTGGGGCCAGGGTTCAATCCCTGGTTGGGGAACTAAGATCCCGCAAGCGGCAGCACAGCCAAAAAAAAAAAGGAGGGGGGATGGAATTGGTTCTGGAACAAGTAGATAAATCTATGGATAAAAATGAAACTTGACGGGCTTCCCTGGTGGCGCAGTGGTTGGGGGTCCGCCTGCCGATGCGGGGGACGCAGGTTCGTGCCCCAGTCCGGAAGGATCCCACGTGCCGTGGAGCTGCTGGGCCTGTGAGCCATGGCCGCTGAGCCTGCGCGTCCGGAGCCTGTGCTCCGCAACGGGAGAGGCCACAACAGTGAGAGGCCCGCATACGGAAAAAAAAGAAACTTGATCCCTTCTGCACACTACAGAGAAAGTAATTTAAGGTGGATCATAGTCTTGAACATAAAAGCAAAACTCATATATCTTCTAGAAGAAGAAGAAAATATAAAATATCTTCATGATCTTGAGATAGGTAAAGATTTCTTAGAAAGGATGCAGAAGAGAACTAAACAGAAAATAAAAATTGATAAATCAGTCTTCATCAGAATTAAAATTCTTCTCATCAAAGGATACCATTAAAAAAATGAAAAGGCGGACTTCCCTGGTGCTCAGTGGTTAAGAATCCGCCTGCCAATGCAGGAGACACGGGTTTGAGCCCTGGTCCGGAAAGATCCCACATGCTATGGAGCAACTAAGCCTGTGTGCCACAACTACTGAGCCTGCGCTCTAGAGCCCGTGAGCCACAACTACTGAGCCAGTGTGCCACAACTACTGAAGCCTGTGCACCTAGAGCCCAGGCTCCGCAACAAAGAGAAGCCACCACAGAGAGAAGCCCGTGTACCACAATGAAGAGAAGCCCCGGCTCACCGCAACTAGAGAAAGCCCACACACAGCAACAAAGACCCAACACAGACAAAAATAAATTAATTAAATTTAAAAAAAAATAAAATGAAAAGGCACGCCATGAAATGGGAGAAAATATTTTCAATACATGT